ACCCACACCCACACCCACACCCACACCCACACCCACACCCACCCACATCCACACCCACACCCACCCCAAGAGAAGACTAGATATGTCACCGAGAAAGAAATGAAAACGAAATAAAAAAGAAAATAATATAAATGAAAATAGATGGCAGTTGTATCAGTGTGACAACACTGTAACATTCACTAAGGCAAATTGTTGCTGGATTTAAGTCGCTTTTCCCCCTTGAATTTTGCACGATTGAAGATATTTATTCACTCTTTTGGAATAATTTTTAAAAAAGCCCTATAATCTAGTTAATTACAATTTCAAACATCACTGGAGACTTTTATCAATTAGTTTTCTAGCGATAAGTAAGAATATGCAGGTGAAGTTCTCTTAACATTCTTCTTCAAATATCTCAGAATTATCATACATGGTGGCTATGCATATGTGCAGCACATCTCTAGTGCATACTATGCTAAAGCATTATCATATGTGGTCTACAGTTGATTTCGAATTGGAACATAATTTAAGTTCGTTCTACTTAAAGACTAATGAAATTTTTGTAATATGTTTATTTTATGTGAAATTACCTACGTCAATGTTAAATATTTAGTTCCTATTATTTTCATTACACTTTTCTATTCAATACGTTGTCAGGCAAAGTTTGATAGATGTGGTTATATTGTGATAGTAGTAGTGGACTACGATTTAATTGATTTCCAACAAAAACAGTTTCATGTGGTATGAGACAGAGCTGCCAGCCTGGCCTGCCGGCCTGCTAGCCTGCCAGGCCAGGCTACCAGGCCAGGCCGACTTTTTTGATTTTGGCCTGGCCTGCTTCTAGCCTGGAAATTCAGGACCAGGCCGCCAGGCCAGGCTGAAAAAAAGTGGCCTGTTGGCAGCTCGGTATGAGATATATCGTAGTGTTTGGAATAAGAGCATTATGAATAATGAAGTTATACACGCCTTGATCATTTCCGATCATATCAAGACATGCACGTGATTGAGTTAGAAATTGTGAAACCCACACCCACATCCTTATTTTTTGCGTCAAGTTTTATTTAAAATTTTGTTGAAAATTGATCATTTTCAAAATATGAAGACTTGGCTAACTCGTTGAATTCTACACTAATCTTCTTTCATTCTATACATGATGATGAATATTCTGTGAGCATAAAAAAAAACACTGAAAAACCGCTCTAGGCTTTTTATTCTTCCTTTTTTTCTTCCTTTCATGATTATGACTAACGTATTGACCTCTAGAAAGTATGTCTTCTTATCAAGTATGATCCGAAATAAATTTACAGAATTATTGTTGGAAATAAACAAAACGACGTTGATATATAATTTTTTATTGTTGATACTTGACATTCGATTTCACTGGTAATTATCGTGATTGATTGCTACGACATCTTTTTTGCACATAGTAATTGCATAATTCGTTATCGTTCTATGAAAGCAAACGAAGCGACCTTCCTTTGGATGTAAATGATTCATAACAAAGTAAGCAAAAACAAAAAGAAAAGTGATTGCCTCAGGTATACGTTTTACTCATGGTTTTTTTCCACTTATTCATAAAAAGCATGGGAAAAAGTCTCATATATAATTGTAACGTTTAACTTTTTTCTGTTTAAGATCATCATCATCAACAAAAATATTATGACAGCAATTGAAGCATAGAATGCAGAGTTGCATCACATTAAATCACCAAGAATCTAATCTAAGTTATGACAGTGACCCAGAGGTATGATGCATGAAAAACTATTTTATATTGAAGACATTTCTACGTTGTTTCTATTAGATCGATTCATATGCTAATGAGCCTATTGACATTGCTCAATATAACACAGGAGAGCCCACAACAGGTAAGTTTAAAATGTTTCAAAAAATATTTCTGACCATAAAATTATTTTTCTAGACAGTCCATCAATGAAAGAACAATATGACGAATTGGCTAAACGATATACAGCGTCAGAGAGAATGCCACATATATTCAACAAACTTTATGAGATTTGTGTGCTCAACATCTGTACAGATGGATTAGAAATAGCTCTTCATGAATCGTTGTTCAATTATGAAAATGTATGCTTAAAATTTTAAGAAGATTCACAAAAATATTCTCATTTCTAGCCACGTTCCTTGGTTATGTATCTGCATCATGAGCGAAGTATTGGTACTCATCTATTTTGTTCGAATATTCTTCCTAATAGCAATATTGTCGAATATTTGAATAAAAACTTTGTTGTATGGGTATATGATCGAACCGATGACGTTGATTATAAATCGTAAGTTTAAATCATTTAATTCGAGTTAAAATACTTTTTCAAAGATATTCTACAATTGTGACCAACGAACTAAACTAAAAGTATGCATCTGGAAAGTAAATTAGAAAAATAAGAGAAAATAAAAATACGAAGAGACATTGTAATTATATAAAAAGAAATCACAAAAATTAAATCGAATTTTTTGATTCCAGGATATTTCAGAGTATTGAAGTACGTTGTTTTCCACTTGTATTTGTCCCTTGACACAACTGTACAGAACTACGTAGGAGTATTGGAGTATGTTGTTTTCTTCCATTGTCTATTGTCACTCAGAATAGACGAGGTGAGAAAGATAAAATCAGTTTTCTTTTCTCTCTACATTCGATTTGTGAAAAAAAAAAACAATCTAAAACTAAAATTCCACCGTTATCTATAATAATAATTGTATTTTAGCCTTCAAACAACAATACAACAATGCATTGGCGATTCTATCGTTCAAGAATTGAGTCTATTCAATATTGATGACTATCCATTACTTATTTGTTTATCATTTCATTTGGGCAAGTGTGAAATCACCAAAATTATTAAGGGCACCATGGGAAAAGATGAAACAATCGGCTGTCTTCAAGATGCAAGACTACAATTCGATCGACGTGTAGAAGACCCCATCACTAGCGAACATTCTTCTTCGATTCACTCAATAATTGGCTATAATATACCTTTTTCGAAGTTTATAGTGACTACAAACGAAGATATCTCGAATAATCAGGACACAACAGTATTTCAATCAATATCGACCATCACTGAATCTTTTTCAAATAATCACCTAGATCCGAATTCCAAAACGGTGACAAATTGTAATGCGTCTACGTCAAAGAGTGAGAATGAAGCGGACACAACTTCTACTAAAGAAGAATTGATTTTAATCCCGATGAAAAATTCAAATGAGATTACATCGCAAGATCCATTCCAATCGATTATTGACTCATTGTCCAAGGTTAATGTTGTTGAACAGTAGCAATCATCAAATTGTGCAATTATACCCTCGTTTTACATTCATAATATGACTAAATAAAATTCACAATAAAAAAAAAGATTTCAACTTCATTTTCAGCTACTTAGGTTTATATCTGAAATAGTGTGCGATATAAAAACACTTTCCATCACTTGATCAGTATAAATTAGGCTGATATCAGTATAGTATGGCACAAGAACAAAACAAAGATTTGAAAATTTACTAAGCTACATTTGTGGTTACAGAGTCAATGTATTTGAAAGTTATTTGAATAAGTTTTCAATAAAAATAGCCATGAACAGCTTTGTTATTAATAGTGATAAGCATTATACTCATATGAAATTAATAGATGAACACAGAACTCTTGAATAAATCTCATACGGATACTGTTGCTCAAGCAATATCCAGTAGAATGTTGTTGAAGTACTATTAATTTTGATTTGACATATCACATAAGTAATACAGGAATAAATAATTTTTTATTGGACTTCCTGATAACACTGAGAAATTCGATCTTGTAAGGGAAAACAATCCGTACGAAATCTAGTTAGGATCACAAGGAATCAGTTAAGCAGGTAAGTGATTCCCTTGACTTCGGGTAGTTTCAGTTTCATTCAAATCAGTTATTTCTTTGTTGCTCGAAGAAAATGTTTTCTCTATATCAAATAATTATCAACAATGAGAAAAATCACTAAAAAAACGTACAGAACATTACGGAGTGGATGTGGGTGTGGCTACACGAAAATCTCACACCCACACTCCGATCGATGGCTAGCTTTTTTAACATCAGGTCAAATATATGTGGATTTTACAAAAATGAGTTTTGATGCCGCCTACACCAAAGTTGGATCGGAGATTCTTCAAATTCAAGCCAATCGAAAATATTCCTCAGCGATTTTATCCCGCCCAGTCGTGCCAGAAACGTCAACCATGAAGTGAGTGCGGTTTTTAAATAACACAATAAGAAGAGTTGAGCTTTGTGTCTGAAGGGATTTTAGGACAGATCTCATAGAATAATCCAAACCTGATAGGAGCACCGAAAAGTGGACATATAACTATAGGTGTGCGCCGGAAACTCTTTAGAATGTCACAAATAGTACTATGTCTTACAGAATGGTAAAAACTATTCATTATTATTGATATGCCGCTTGAGATTTTGACTTTTTTTTTCATCACTTTAAGTTGTAACTAAAAGTTTGCGGGAAGGGAAATTCTGAAATCACCACGAAAACCTGTTTAACAATTGTCTAGTTAACCGAGCTAACATTTCAAACCCATTCTTCCTCTAATTTATGAGTAGAAAGGGCATTCAAAAGAAAAATGAAGCAGTTGTTGCTTCACGAATAACGTGGGAAATGAAGCTTGAAACAAACTAAGGTATCACTGTTGCTATTCATAGCAAATCAATCAAAACTAAAGGAAAATAGTTTGAAGAAGTATAAATAAATGAAAAATATTCTCACAGATTTCTCAATCAATTGTGTTAAATATTATCTAATGTCAAGTAAGTATCGTAGTTGAGATTTATTTGCAATAAAATTAAAATACAATCATTATTGTAGATAGGAATCGTTGATATTAGTTATATGATATTTTTGATGTTATATTTACTTATTTACTCTTGAAAATCAAGGAATAGATGATATGAAATATATATCCGCGATGTTTGTTTTTTCTCTATCTACTATTCATTTAGTAAAGAAAACAGACATTCTTTCAGTTCTAGTTCAAGAATTCTATGATGATTAAGATCCTTTCATATCTATGATAGTCGATCATAAAGTGTATATAATAAAGCTTTATTTCTAGTGAGAAAAGAAAAAAATTTTGTTAACATGTCAATTTCATACCTGATATTTTTTTTTTGTTTCATTTGACTACATATCATGCCTAATTCTATTCTAGATTTCAATATTGTAAAATCGAAAATTCGATTAATGAATAATTCTCACTAGTATCGGAAATAAACTATAGACACATAAATGAAAAAGTCTTTCATTTCTTTTCCATAAAGAAACACATTAAGTATTGATAGATTTTTCTAATCATTGAATTAACTGTTAATGTTCTTATCATAGAATCTTTCTAGTACTTATATAAATATTTTTTACTGAGTCATGTCCTTACATGTAATGATGAAATTTCTAAGCTAATATAATACGACACGTGTATCGCATAAGAACACAAAAAATTTGCTTGCAATTTTTTTTTTCGAAAATGGAGACTGACATACAAACTGAGAATTGTTTAATAGTATTGGAAAGTTTTCCTAATGAATTATTCGTTCAAATCTTCTCTTATTTAACTTCTATTGATACAATTATTGCTTTTTCAAATCTAAACAATCGCTTTCAATGTTTAGTTTTTACATATTGTCAAACATTTGATTTGATATCAATAAACAAGAAGAAATGCGATTTTATTTTTCAATTTCATGGGACAAATCAATGGAAATCATTACGCATACCTAATAACGATCAAAGACCATTTTGGATTGATTATTTTATGGAAAATTATTTTTCTATCAAGAATTTTTCTCAATTACAAACATTATCTGTTGGACAACTGAACGATAGAACTCAACAGTTATTCTTTTCTCTACTTCCATCTTTAATAAATTTGATTTCTTTATCAATTGATTCTCTATGTGGAAAAGAGATATTACCATTTGATTTACCAAAACTTCAAAAATTCGTTTTTGGTTTATGTGAAAATATAGATTGGATTAAAGTATGAGAAAAACAAATCTTTCTTTTTAGTAAATCTTTTTTGTTTCTTATTTATTTAGAACTTTTCTCGAATTGAAACAATCGAATATACAATAAACCATTTTTGTGAAAAGAAAAATAAATTAATATGGCCATTAACAATAAAGAATCTAAAAATTGTTTTTATGGTTGATACTGCCCATGGCGTAAAATATCTAAGGAAACGCACTGCGTAACGTGTTTCCAAGATTGGGGCATGCGTTTCGCAGCGTTTCTTCGAGACGGAATGCGTTTCACAGTATTTTTATTTATATAGAACACGTTTTGCTGCCTTGAGTTTTTGAAACGATACGAAACGCTTCTTTTTGCGATTATGTTTCGAAGCGTTTCCCAAATGAAACGCTGGTAAACTCATTAAGTCGACAAGAAAAGCATTGTACAGAGTCACAACTCGGAGAAAATGCGAAACAGGTTCTTTTAAAATGCATTTGCATCGGTTACGCTTCGAATGATGCAAAACTGATCTCTTTTGTTAGAGCATCTCGCACCAATTCATCTTCAAAAAGCATGTGAGTTAAGAAAAGTCAACTCTGATATGATTTTGGAAATTATGCGAAATGGTTTTACAAAAAATTTGCTGATTGCATTGTTTTTTATCCTCAAGATGGTGGCGCAGGTCTTCCTTAGCCAAGGTCAGAATTAAGTTCTTCTAAAACTTCAACGAATTACGTCGTTTTTTAAGACTGTTTCGAAGGTAGGCTAGTATTGAACATCAGAGTGTATTCTACAGTTATCTTCTGTTAGAAAACTCATTTCACTACGTTTTCATTCAAAGAAAACGCGTTTCGTAGCATTGAATCTAGAATTCTGTAAAATGTTGAAGAATTTGAAGAAATTCAGTAAAGATTGATGCAAAAATAATCCGTAGGACAGCTCAATGTTGTTGTGTGAAAAAAGTATTTTCGAATAATTTATGATTTATAATAATAATTATTGTTAATTTATGTATGGACTGCGTTATAGTAACTGATTATATACTCTCCGAAACATGACTAGAATATTACTTTCGTTCGTACACTATCGATGTATGTAAGTGCGGCTTGTTGATAAAAGAGGTTCGAATTACAGAAAAAATATTTTTGTAGTTTTGATTGCACTTGGATTTACTGATCATGGATTTACATTTACAAAAAAACATTCAATTCAACAAAAACTTTGCAAATTTTGCAAAATTAAGATTACAGTTCTTTTGAATTTAAATTTACGAAATTTAATCTTTTTAAAATCTTTAATTCAATTTATATGGAATTAAATTCATTTTAATTGGGTATTTAAACTTTAAAAAAATAAAATTTTACAAATTTAAATTTCTAAAAGTTAAATTTAAGATAAATTGACAGAAAATGACACTCTTCCTTGGATAAAAGCAGCAAAAAGAATATTATTTTTCATCGATTCATTCAGACGTGAAACAAAATTTATTCGAATCATAAATTTGTACAAGACATCTAAATAAGAATAGAGCAAACACTTATATCATTCGACTATTTTAGTTGAACGGTTTGTATACATATCTTCTACTCTTATGTTCTCCTGTTCGAATCCACCTCTTAACTTTATCGAAACTAATGTAAGTTAACTCTATAATTCTATGAATTAATGTAAACCAGTATATAGATCGCACCTGCAAGTTGAGCTCTACGAAGTACTTGACGGGTTTTGTTTTTTTCTGTCCTTCAAAGTATGCAATACCATAGACTCAGAAACACTGCGAAATGATTTAAAGAAAAAATCGTTTCGCAACGTTTATTTTAGCAAATGTGAAACGCGTTAAACCGGTCAGCATTAACGCGTTTTGCAGCTATGGAAAAACGCGTTTTTTTCGCAAAAATTTACGCCATGGGTGATTATTCATTAATATTAGATTCTCTTGTTCATTTATCTCAATTAATTACTCTTGAAATTTATGAAATGCGAGTAGGAAAAGTACCGTTGAACGGTCAAAGATGGGAAGATCTCATTCGTTCATCATTTCCATTATTAAAAACATTTAAATTTTATTTTATATTTCATTCATTAACATCACAAGAATTGAAACGACTAGTCGCCTCATATTCAACACCATTCTATATTAAAGAAAAACAATGGTTTGTTTATTGTAATATCTTTGCTAATTCTAAGAATAATCGATATGGAAAACTTAGCATATTTTATACATTGCCATATCCTATGGAAACATTGACAATTTATAAAAATTCTTTTAAGAAAATCATTTCAAATTTATCGATCAATAATCATTCTAATATCTATGCAAATATTAAAACGTTAATATTTGAAAATTATATCACACCGAATCATAACTTCAATAAAACTAAAATAATCAATTTAGTAATTAATACACAATTCGAATCTATTTATTGGTTACATTCATTAACTAAATTACAGCAATTACATATTGATCATTTTGGATTTATCTCTATGGAACAATTTCAAATTCTATTAGATAATACACCTTATTTATATTCATTATCTTTGAGAAAAAGTCAATTGATAAGATTGACAGATAACGGGAATGATGTTCATATATGTAATCATTTGTCACAAAAGATTCGTGTTTTAAAATTACATTCATATAAAAATCCACTAGAATGTCTGAATAGACATGAACTTGAACGAATACTGTCGATTTTCGAAACCAAATGTGAATATTTATCATTGGGTCTTCAAACAACAACTAATACAATCGATTATATTTTATTACGAATGTCTGCATTGAATTATTTACATGTATTTGTTCATGAAAAATTTCGCTTACCAATAACAAAAACACTAACAATAGAATGGTTAGAAAAACAACAAACTCAATTTAATCATTCAAATTGCATTATCATCAACAATATACATGGAAATTATTTTTGGTTATAATGATAATTATGATCGAATAAAATATTTCAAAAATTAACAAGTGATATTCATTCTTCATTTTTCTCTGCGGGCGTGGGTGTGGGTGTGGGTGTGGGTGTGGGTGGGGTGTCCCTAGAGAATGTACTGAGTTAAGGGTACCCGAAAAAGTACCCTGTTACCAGTATGCCGCAGGAACTTTTGGGTACCAAAGTACTTGCAAGTACTTTCAGGTACCTAAGTGGTACTTTAACAAGTACCCTGCTACAAAATGTGTAGTAACTGGGTACTTGAAGGTACTGATCAGGTACTCAATTGGGTACTATTGTATAGTATTTCTAGGTACCCTGTTACAAAAATTTCAGTATGTTCAGGATCGAACCTGACCGTTAACTTTTTTTAATTTTTGTTTCTCTCAAAGCAATTTATTACAATTTTTTTTCGATTTTATTCAATTTAATTTTTTCAATTCCCAAAACTTAGCAGGTACAATGCCAGGATCTGACCCGACTTGAGTTGGTCAGGTATCCATCAGACCACTTCGGAGTAGTCCGCTCTTAATCTACGATCAAGATCGGCATGTTCTCGACTAAGAAATAGTCAAGAAATAATCTAGAAAAAATTAGTATGAAAATGGATTAATTTCTTATGTCTTACCCAGTTGTTTATATGGAGCCGTGCGTGAAGAAGAAAACGGTGAATGAATAGTCTCTACACAGAACGCGACAAATATAAGGTACTCTATGTAGCTTTCCTCAGTAAAATTACAGATGCGAGTACCCATACAAGTACTTGTTAAGTGAGCGTACTTGTATGGGAACCACACGCAGTACCTACATCAGTATAATTACTGAGAATTTTCGAAGTACCCATATTGGGTACCCTGCTAGGCCTTTCTCAGTGCATGGGTACCCTGAACTCAGTACTTTCTCTAGGGGTGGGTGTGGGTGTGTGGGTGTGGGTGTGGGTGTGGGTGTGGGTGGGTGTGGGTATGGGTGTGGGTGTGGGTGTGGGTGTGGGTGGGTGTGGGTGTGGGTGTGGGTGTGTGTGGGTGTGGGTGTGGGGTGTGGGTGTGGGTGTGGGTGTGGGTGTGGGTGTGGGTGTGGGTGTAGGTGTGGGTGTGGGTATGGATTGAAGTTCACTCTTCCCACGCCCACCCACAGCCACAGTCACACTCACCCACACCCACACCCACCCACAATTTTTATTCTGATTTACACCTATACTTT